GGAGTGCGCTGTCTCACATGATGTAACCCCAAAGAACTGTCATGCAAACATAAATGATGTGTATCCTGAAGATGGGTTAGAGAGCGGTAGGAAGGGATTGAAAGATATGTTAGAAGATCTGCAAACGACCTAATACCGGGGTGTAAGAAATTGAGTAGGTTATATTATTTATCGCACGCCTTATGCATTTGAAGGTTTTGTGTCAATGGTCAAATCAATCATTTTTCCTCATGCTAACCTTGTTGAGGGATGTTTTACCTAATGATGTGGTGTTGCCGAAGAACTACTACGAGACAAATAAAATAACGAAAGAGTTGGGATTTACTTGTAAGACTATTGACACATGCATGAACAATTGTATGTTGTTCACTGGAGATGATGCATATCTTCAAGCATGCGTTGTATGTGGTGAAAGGAGGTTTGTCGAAGGTAGGTCCATCGGGTCAGTAAAAAAGAGGACATACTTTCTGTTAATTCATCGGTTGCAACGAATGTTCTTGTCCTCGAAAACAGAAATGTTAATGTGGTGTCATGCTGAATCTCGTGTTGATGATGGTGTTTGCGGCACCCGGCTGATAGTTCGGCATGGAAAATGTTTGATCTTCAAAATCCTTTATTTTCCGGTAACATTCAAAATGTACGATTGGGATTGGCGTCCAATGGCTTCAAACATTTCAGTAATATGAGTGTTAGTTATAGCATATGGCCGCTGGTGCTCGTGATCTATAATTTACCACCATAGCTATGCATGAAACAACCATCCTTCCTCATTTCTACAATAATAGACGGTCCTAAAGGGCCGGGCGATTAGATCGATGTGTTTCTGCAGCCTCTAGTGGCTGAGTTGAATGAATTATGGGACATTGGTGTGAGTACGTTTGACACAGTAAGTGAAGAGCATTTTCAAATGCGTGTCTCCTTACTATGGACCATTAGTTATTTTTCAGCTTATGCTATGTTATCTGGATGGCCAACCGCGGAGGAAATGCATGTCCAAATTGTGGTGTGCGGACACATTCTGCTTATTTGAAGAATGAGCACAAATTTTGCTACTGTGGCCATGGGCGTTTCCTACCCGATAGACATAGGATGCAACGTAATCGACATTCCTTTGATGGAACGATGAACTTCGAGGCCCGCGTCACACGCATAACTGTTGTTGAGTTACGTGATCAGTTGAGGGATGTTTCTATTGCCTACCGTAAGGAGGACTTGGTTGCATAACAAGCGGCACAACAATCTAGAAAACTATGTCGGGCAGAACAAAGACAAGCATCTACATGGAAGAGAAAAAGCATTTTTTTTTAATTAACATATTGGGCTGATCATGATATACGACATAATCTTAACTTGATGCACATTGAAAATAATGTTAGTGAAAATGTTTTGCATACTTTGTTGAGCACTAAGGGGAAGACAAAGGACAACCTTAGTACGAGGAAGGACTTGCAATTGATGAATATATTGAGTTCTCTGCATCCAATTTCCAAGCCTAATGGTAAGGTTTACTTACCGGCAGCCGCATACACTATGTCGTGTTCTGAGAAAAAAACATTCCTATCAGTTTTGAAAATTTTGAGACCCCGATATGGTTTTAGTTCTAATTTAGCTCGTCGAGTCAGAATAGAACAACAAACAATATAAGGTTTGAAGAGCCATGATTGCCACATTCTAATGCAATGAATCTTTGGTGTTGCAGCTAGACGGTATATTGCGCACTTCCCAACCCATTGTTTTTGTACTATTGGCACTATAGTTGTATGACTTTGTGGATGATGATTCTTTCTATTCTTGTAGGGTTTCTCCAAAGATGTTGTTGTGTTGATGGAACTATACACCTTCAATTTAATGTGTTCAACAAACAACACATTACAGGATCTTGAAAAGTTAAAAGATAGAATTGCTCTTACGTTATGTCACTTAGAGAAACTTTTTCCGTTTTTTCTTTTTTTTTTATGTCATGGAACATCTTCCGATTCACCTACTAGATGAGGCAATGCTTGGAGGACCTGTCTAGTATAGGTGGATGTATCCAATCGAAAGGTATTTAGGTACTCTCAAGAGATATGTACGAAACTGTGCAAACCCGGAGGGTTCGATTGTACGCGGATACCTCATGGAAGAGTGTATGATATTTTGTTTGAGATATTTTGGGGATTTAGAGACTAAAGAGAATCGAGGAGTACAAAATGATGATCTTGGATCAACGAGAGGGCTTTTTGAGACCCGGTGTAACCTTGATTTCATCGCTTTGCAACAAATACATTGATACATATTAGGCAATATGGAAGTTATTGGTCCACTCGGAAGGTATATATCTTCAATCAATGTTATTTTGTCTTATTATGAGTTACCATGTCTAAACTCCGTGGATACTTCTCTGTCATCCATAGCGTGCATTTTGAAAGTATTAAGAGAATGCGAACTAATGCAAGTCCCCGAGAAGTGCAGCAGATCCACAATAAACAATTTCCAAGGTGGTTTCAAACTTTTGTGCGTACATGAACATCACAATTAAGAGTTAGGGGTACAATAAGTATTGAACACGTTTATGTGAATGTAAACATACTTAAATTGTCTATAGGTAGAGGATCTTGCCCACAATATCGATGGCACAATCACTGCATATATGAAGACACTAGCACAAGGACCTTGTACACATGAAACAAGATTCACGTCTTGCATCATCTCCAAAATCTGATTTCGAGTTAAATAAAAATACGAAGGAAAAAAGACTCAGTATGCTGGTTTGATGGTCAATGTGGAGACCATTAGCTACGCAAGTGCAAGAGACTTAAATCCTCGTGCAGGTTCGATCGCATATTACGGGTTAGTAACTGACATTGTAGAGGCGGAGTACAATAATGACGATGGTTGATAATTTCAGGATAAGGTTTAACATTGACGATGGTTGCACATCCAAGGAACCAGCTGATTATTGGTTGAGAGAGGATGTAGAGAGGGTAGTAATGGAAGGTGAAAAAAATATGAATGTAAGAACTAGCCTAGCATGGATGGTTGAAGATGATTTGTTTGAAGAGCAAAGCTTCATAATACTATACCAATGATTGTGAATTATGAGTTGAAACTTTAACGCCTTTAGATTTTGTCTGTTACTCATGGTTCCTGTAGTATGAATTATTTTGTTGAGTCTAAATTATAGAGTATTAGGTCTTGTCAAAAATTTACCTAAAATGCATTCGGTGAATAATAGTGCAAATTCCCACATAAAAAAAAATAATAATAATAAAAATCAAAATAAAAATCAAAAGAGAATGTATTGCCGGAAGAATTAAAATAATGCCCATTTTCCAATACGTATTAAAAGTGGGAACTTCATGCAATAAAGCTCTCCTTAAGTGATTTATTATAAGAGTACTGTAATTTAATAATTAGAATATGAAATATATTAAATTTTCTGTCTCTTATATCTTGGTGATAATGTCACAGTGATTAATAAGTTTACTTGTTTAGGTTGCACTTCTGAATTATCATATACTCAATTTGTGTCTTGATTGTAATTACATAATAATTATAGTACAAAGTATATTTGCAAAAAGCACAAAGTTATTATTTTTATAGATTTTTTTTATTATTATTTTTTATAGAAAAGTCTGTTACAAGAGAATTAATTATATTGATTTATTATAAGAACATTTGTGATTGACTATAGAGAGCATGAAATATATTTTAAAAAATACCATGTTATTGTTTCTATAGACTCTTCTCACTCTACTCGTACTTTTTTTAGTATCGTCTTTGACAAAAACATAATGTATTCTTTTCTTAGTCATAAAGTTAATTATCTCTTCAAAGATATATGGCAAAATTATAAAATTATTCTTGTTTTTTATTGACTATATGATAGGATAATGATGAGATCGGACGGTAGCTAAGTAATCTAATCGGATATATATATATAAAAATATAAATGGGAAGGATTATGGTGCTAATTGCACCGTCCTTATTTTTCAAAATAATATCCAAAAGGTATAGAAATAATACATGTTAGTTGTTATATACAGTCTGGGCAGTTTGTAATAAAAACATGTGATATTTATTCATAATTACAACGTATGTTGTATAGAGCTGTTAAACAAGCCGAGCGAGCTCGAGTATCGGTTGTTCGAGCTTGACTCGAACTTGTTAATGGTACAGGCTCGGCTCGGCTCGTTAAGAATTCGAGCCAAAATAGTGCCTCGAGCTCGGCTCGTTTATCTTTATAAACAAGCCGAGTCGAGCTTGGCTCGCGAGTTACTCGATTTGTTTAACAGCTCTAGCTGTATCAGAATATGTCAGGTGCTAAAATCAATCGTTCCATGTGTTGTGTAATGTGTTTTCGGTTCATGTATTATAATTGTATTGTATAATATAAATGATATGCTGCCAATAGTAAATCAAGTTGTTGTTTATTAGTATATTGAGTGTTGTTCAGTATGCTGAATTATATATATATATATATATATATGTATTATTATGCAATCACTAAACTTGCCAAATCGGCTAAGCAAAGTCGATTTCACCGTTGTAAAATTTCAATTGAAGATTGACAATATGTATATGCAGTCACAGTGAAACTTTAATTTCAATAGTATCTTGCTGACTATGAGGAATTTGTTACCAATTTATTACTCACGTTTAAATCCAATTATAGTTATAAGATCATAAATTATAATATATGTATATATAATTATTATTTCAAATTGTTCACTGTCAATATATATATATTAATTTAATAAATAAAGTTCTTATACAATAATAAAAATATCTTTATATTAAAATACCGCGTACACATATCCTGTCCCGTAAAAGATAGTCTAGTGGTGAACTCTTAACTGAAATTTTGTGACTTACCTTGGGCCTTGTACGTTAAAAAAAATATATACATATTGCCTGTTTGTAAATATCCTAAATCACAAATGTATCTATTATTAGTCATAAAAAAAAAAATACTATATATCTATTGTTAACATGTGAAAATAAAATAACACACCCAAGCATGAACACAAATTGATGATGATTCCCTAACCCAAAAACAGAGGACAGAATCACCATTACATCAATGGTAATTAACAAGACAAGATTGGATACACATAATTAAAATTCGAACACATCAATCGAACAAGAACACACAACAAATTCGTTCGATCCGGGGTCTACGCAACGTGCACTCAAAGAATAGTGACGGCAGGTTCCCACATTATGGAAAAAACAAAACCCGACATTTTTTATGTCGTAGCAATTTCAAAAAACATATAAGAAAAGATGGATCGTTTCAACCAGTGTTCTGTAATCCCGCAGCAATACCTTTCATGGTCAAGATAAGGGTGTCCTCCAATCCCGGCGCGTACTCGCTCGTCGGGTTCAGCTTCACCAGCTCGGCCGCCGGCTTTGACTCCTCGTACTCCTTCGAAATGTGCGGCCTCAGCTTCACATGGTAGTTGGGATCGCGGATTCGCTTCAGAGTGTACGCCTGGCTCACGTTTAAGGATGTGATGTAAGAATCGCGCAGCCGCAACCGTTGCTTCAAGTACGGGTCCCCTTCTAGAAGGTCTTTGTGTCCGGCGATCTGGAAAAACAGACAGACAAAACATTCGACGGTTTAAGAATGTCGTAAGAGCAAGCGAGCGAGCAAGCTCATTGTAATGAAATCGAAGAATGCGTGCATACTTGTAGGAGAAGAGACTCCGTCTCGTTATAGTTGGCCCTCAGCCGTTCCCCGAACGACCACAAGTCTTCGGAAACGAGAAGTTTGTCGTAGAGAGCAGCAATCCCGGGATCGCCCTTGGCGAACACCATTTCGACCAAATCGATCGTCACTCTAAAGAAGGGCCATTGGTTGTACATTTCTTGCAGCATTTTGAGGTTCCGGACATCCTTTTGTATCGCGTACTTAAACGCCGCACCGAACCCCAGCCACACTGGGAGATGAAATCTCGTCTGCGTCCACGCGAAGATCCATGGAATTGCTCTTAAAGATTCGATGCCTCCGCTCGGTTTCCTCTTCGACGGACGGCTCCCGATGTTCATTCGACCGTACTCTAGCTCCGGTGTGGCCTGAAAACGTCGTAAAGACAACAATTTTCAACAAATACCGATAAAACAAGTTAGCACGGTATCAATAGTTAGCACGGTATCGATAATTCGATACGAATCGACCCGTTACTTACCAAGCGGAAATACTCGACGAAGCGAGGCTCTTGGAAGACAACGGACCGGTACTCCTTGGTGGCGATGACGGCGATTTCATCGAGAAGGGCGCGCCATTCGGGTTTGGGCGCCACGGGCGGATGCATCCCGTGTTCTAACGTCGCGGCCGTGAAACGTTGGAGTGTCCGGAAGCACAAGTGCTCCTCGCCGAACGATTGCTCGATGACTTCGCCTTGAACGGTGACGCGGAGGGAGCCGTGAATGGTTTCCGGCGGTTGCGACAAAATGGCGAGGTGAGTCGGGCCGCCTCCTCGTCCAACGGTCCCACCGCGACCGTGGAACATCGTGAGCTTTACACCGTATTCCTTCGCGACTTTGATGAGCTCTTCTTGAGCCTTGTAGAGTTGCCAAGCAGCCGATAGCCGGCCGGCGTCTTTCCCCGAGTCCGAGTACCCGATCATGACTTCTTGCTTCCCGTTGATCCGATTCTTGTACCAGTCGACGGAGAAGAGCCGCGCTACGGCTGCCGGTGCCGCCTCGAGATCGTCCAACTTCTCGAAGAGCGGGACGACTCGCAGCGGGTGCTTGACATGGCACTCGCGTTGGAGAAGCTCAACGGCCAGCACGTCGGATGGGGCGGTGGCCATCGAAATGATGTACGCGCCGAAGCAGTCGGACGGGAGTTCGGCGAGGACGGCAAACGTGTCGAGAACGTCAGCGATCTCTTCGGTCTTGGGGAGGTCCGATCCGAAGAGGGGCCGTTTGCTGTTGAGTTCGGCGAGGAGCCATTCCTGGCGGCGATCTTCAGACCAGTCACGATACGAGCCGATGTCCAAATGCTTGGTTATGGCGTCGAGAACGTCGGTGTGCCTGTCCGATTCTTGCCTTATGTCGAGGCGGACAAACGAGAGCCCGAATGTCGACACTTGCCGGAGAAAATCTAGAAGGCTTCCGTCGGCTATTGGCCCATCTCCGCAAGTGCAGAGAGAACGGTAGCAGAGCTCGAGAGGTTCCAAGAACTGCACAATGTCGTCCCGATTCAGCAACAGAAACGCAACGTTACACGAAATTAATGTTGTCTACTTCTTACGAAAACGGCACCTGATCAATGCTGGTGTAAGTAGCTTCTTCCGGGATGTCGGAAGTCCCCTGAGCGAGCAGTTGACGAGAGCGCTCACGCGTTTGATAGAGCTTGTCGCGAACATCTCCAAGAATGACGCGGTAGGGTTCGTTCGGAGGAATCGATTTCCAAAACTCTACAACCAAACATGTATAAGTAAGTCATATGTTTCGTGCGTATTGAAAATTCGATTGATAGGGTCCGAGGAGAATTACCAATGTAATGCTTCGAATCTTTCTTCAAAGAACGGTGAAGCTCCTCCGCGTGTAGTCGGAGCTCATCGGTGCAACGCCACATGGACAACTAAAAAACACGGAGACAGAGTTACTACAACATAAGCCGCGTAAGGAATGAAGTAATCGATTGAATACCTCGAACATTAAATCCTCGATCCGAGAATAGTACAAGTTTGCGGCCATCATTCGCGCCAACAAGCAAACATCCCTCGTAACCTCGGGGGTGACCCTCGGGTTGCCTGTAATAAAGACATTCGAACATTCAAACGAAAAACCAACGGGGTTTGGGGTTGTAATAATTCGAGAAATAATGAATTAAGTACCGTCGCGGTCTCCCCCCATCCAAGAAGAGAATTGGATCAGCGGCGCATTGTACGGGACACGCTCTTTAATCCCGATGTTCTTCAGCGCCGTATCGACACGTCGTAGGAACTTGGGGACGCCTTTCCAGATCGTTTCATGGAAATAACTCATCCCGGCCCTCATTTCGTCTTGGGGAGTAGGAGCAGTCCTCCGGATCTCGTCCGTGCGGAAAGCCGCTTGAATCTGCAAAAAACATGTAACAAAAACATTATTACACAACCATTCATAGTACAAAACAAATTTCTCGCACGAATCGTCACCTCTCGCTGCAACGCCTCGTCGAGCTCCTGCTTGTCGTCCGGAGTTATGTCCTTAGCGTACAACTGAGCCAAGCAATCTCGAATTCTAACACAGAAAGTAGACACATTAAGCATAAAATTCATCGCACCTCATTTTAAGAAGAACAAGGATGTAAGAATCAACCTGCCGTGCTTCTGGAGCAACGATCTCCGGACAGACTGAGTCGGATGAGCAGTGAAGACGAGGTCGACTGTCTGATTCTTTAATGCATCAAAAACTTCCTCGGGGGATTTCTTCAAGTCCACCACAAGTCTCTTGAGAGTCTCTTCGATGTCCGACTCGGTTGTAGCCGAGCTCTCATCAGTGTAATCTCCTTTCTTCTTCTTGTTCCTACGACGATGCGCAATTTGGACCTCCTCGGCCAAGTTGGCCAGGTTAAGCATGTTAGAAAATGCTTTCGCCAGGACAATCGAATCGCCGGGATCCAAGCTTGTCAGCACACTCCCGAGCTCCTCCAACTTGTCGGGATTATGGCTGCCTTCGTACTCCGCCGACAGCTCGTAACATTCTTGCACCTTCATCCACATTATTACATCACATTACAAGATCGAATCTGCTCAAGAATTTACAGCTGTTGCTTTCTTACAAGACACATTTTCGTATTATTTGAAACTTTTTAGGACTATTAATTCATTGATCCTCTCACAATTACATTATACAATCAAATCACCAACATTTTACTATATTTCCCAAAATTTTGCAAATTTCGATCTAAACGAACCCTAAATTATCAAACAATAGATACGAATTTCATTACAATAAGTAACATTTTTTTTTTTAATATTGAACTAAAAACACAGTTTCAGTAGCCGATCCATCGCCGATTATGCCGTAAACATTACCAAAAATTAGGGTTTAATTTCTATCAGTAAGAGTTTAAGGATTTGACTTTTGCTTCGTTCACTTGAAAATTAAACCATTTCAGACATATATATGTACCGTTTCTCGGAGATCCTCGCCGTGTAAATCCTGAAGAATGTCGAGAAACCTGTCCAAAAGCAGGGCATCGTACTCAACAAGCTTGTCGTCTTCGGACACCTTCCCAGGAGCCAAAAGCCTCAACTGAGCGTCGATCGACGCCATCTTCTCCACGTTCCTCGTCGCCATTATTGCAGCAGCAGTGCCTGTAAGAATCAATTCCCAGGAAAAACCCCAAATCGGAAATTGATTATTAAGAAGGGGGAAAAGTTTGAGATGCGAACGACGCCGTTGTGAGGTTTGAATTTATAGTGGGGGAAGTCGAGACAGCCTAGGAGCAGTCAAATTCGGATCAGAATTCTTCTAATGGATGAATCAAATTTGTTAATGAAATTATGGGGAAAGAGAAGACATTGAAATTTTGTTCCACAATCACCGGCCATTCATTTTTTCGGTAGAAGTTCTCTTCTCAGCTCACTTTCACTGAGGGAATATTCCTTTCCAGATTCCCTTTTTATTCCAAACGGTAACGGGCGTTAAAAACGTTGTACCGTTTTGTCGTTTTCGTACGTTAGTCAAAGGGTTTACGCAAATAACGGCCGGAAATTTTCTTTTATGGACGTGTTATCTGAATTATTTTTTAATTTATTTGACGTCAAAATAAACACTATCTATATTAATAAATAATACTCCATCCCTCTCAGTTAAATTGTCCATCCACCGAGTTTGAGTTTGAGTTTGAGGTACGGTATAATTAGTAAGTAATTAAAAAATATATTAGTGAAAATAAATATGATTTAATAAAACTAATTATAAATTAAATTAAATTTTTTAAATAGTTTAATTATAAAAAATTTTAAAATTTAAAATGTATAATTATATTTCCAAAAAATAAAATGATAAATTACGATGGACTGACGAAAACAAAAATAATAGATAAATTAAGTGGGGAGGGAGTGATATTCTAATATAAAATTATATTTCCTTTGTTCCGGATACGAGAATTTAGGAGGGGTATGATTAGTAAAATAATTAAAAATGTACTACTAAAAGTAATTATAAATTAAATTTAAGATAACTAATTAGTATAATTAAAATTTTAAAAATTATAAAATATAAAATTTAAAATGTGATTAAATTGTATGATTCTTTTCTAATAAAGAAAGTGGTCTGATATATGGGACGGACGAAAATAAAAAATATGACATATTATGTGAGATGAAAATAGTAATATAAAATCAATAAAAATTAATAAAAAATTATACCATAAGTAAATTATTTTTTAAAAAAAAAAAACATATATATAATAAAATTATAAATAAATAAATTTTTTATTATAAATTGTCGATGTAAAAGATTTAGAGCAAAACAATGAAAGAAGAAATCCGACTTTGTTTTTTTAAATAAATGAAATTTGATAGGTTTGTTTGTGTATTTTGATTTGAATTTTTTTATATACAAAGTATATGAAATTGTGCTAGTAATGTAAAAAATAATATTTTATACTGAATATTGACTTTTTATGAGATGATAAAAATATATATATATTGTGAATCGAAGTGAGAAAAAAAAAAAAAAAAAATTCTTGAAAGAACAGATCCCAAACTATTCAATTTTTGTAAAAGTATAACATCAATTATATGTATATTTTTTAAAATATAAATTCAATATGTTCACTACTTATTTCTCGATGAACAATTCTCCGTAAATATCATTAGAAAAAATATAAATATACATGCAAATTAATATAATATATACATTATTCACTCATAAAAAGTTAATAATTCAATACAAAATATTACTCCATCCGTCATCAAATTGTGTGCTCATTTGACCAGGTACGAATTTTAAGAAAAATATGTAAAAATAAAAATTTTACTTTTTTTGGTAAAAAAAGATGGAATATTTTTTACTAGAAACAAACGAAAATAAATTTGAATTACAACAACAAAAAAAAAAAGTGAAAATTAATTTGAATGACTAATGAAATCTTTTTTATATTAACAGCATAATTTATCATACTATATATAAAAAAATCAATTAATGTAAAAACGCTAAATGTTCATATATCAAATACCAAATTTTATACTATTTCAAAAATTTCAAACCTAAAGGGTTTGTTTTATAAAATAGTTTGTAAAGATATTTTCCTATATAAAATATAAAAAATTGTATAAATAATATAACAATAATAATTGTTACGCACAAAAAATAATAATAATAATAATAATAATAATAATAATAATAATAATAATAAGGTATCCAGAGTCAGTCGGTGGGTTCTCAGTCGGTTGGTTCTCAATCAGATAAGCAAGTCAGATGGTCCGCGGTCGGGCAAGCAGGTCAGATTATCCGCAGTCGGATAAATGGGTCGGTTGATACAAAGGTTGGCTGCTATGGGGGTCGGTCGAAAAAGGAAGTCGGGCGAAGAAAGGTCTGTTGATAGGTCAGACGATTGAAGAGACCAAATAGTGGTCGTTTGATGGGGCGACCAGTGAGTCTTTTGATCTGGCGACCAATTATGTATCTAGATTGGTCGGTTGGTCGGTCGTTGGGTTATGCGGTTGGCGAGGCGGTTAAAGACATGTGTCAATGAAAGAGGCAGTTCTGAGTTCTGTAACTGGTGGGAACGGTTGGTGAAACAGTGCGACGGTTCTGAACGTTTTCTTCAAAGAATATTTAAGGATTTGGATCATCATTTGGCAAGGCATCTTCAATCAACTTCAACAAAGCAAAGTCAGATTTGGGGATCACCACTTTAAATTTCAGTCTTTTATTTTCCAGTTTATTTTCTGTACCATACAGTGTTTAGAGATTCCTAATCTCAGGCACTAATTAATCAAATTTAAGGATATTTTCTATATCTTTGAATTTTACTTTATTTTTGTTGAAAAATTACATCAACAAATTGGCGACCACAGTGGGAGAAAATTGCTGATCCATATGGCAAATTTTCAATTCCACAGTACAGCCGTTGGCTTTATCACGGCAGAAGAAGCTTCCCAACTACGGGCCGAATTGACAGCAGGTTTTCGGCAAATGTACGACCAACAGATAGCAAATCTGCAGGCAATACATGACGCAATGCAAAACTTGATGGAGCAATCAAAATTCATGTTGAATTCGGTTCCTGCACCGCCAGAAATGTCATGCCCCCAAACGGACAACGCCATTCCTGAGCATATACCCAGTCAGACAGACTGGAGATAGGACCAAACAGGAGGACAGGCCCGACCAGGGACGACCGAATGGACGGAGACAGGTCGGCAGGATCACGACGCCTGGACGGACCATGGTCGGGAAGACCACACCGACTGGACGGACCATGGTCGGGAGGACCACACCGAATGGACGGACCGTAGTCGGGACAACCACACCGACTGGATGGACAAAGGTCGGGAGGACCACGCCGACTGGACGAATACAGATCGGGAAGACCACGTCGACTGGACTGACAAAAATCGGGAGGACTACGTAACCTGGACGGATACAGGTCAGGAGGACCCCGCCGAATGGACGGATACAGGTCAGGAGGACCCCGCCGAATGGACGGACACGGGTCAGGTCGCCGACCATAACTTTTCAGGCGAGCAAAAGAATGACAGAACAACAGTGGCCGAAAGGAGGAATAAGTCGGACGGGAGTCTGAATACAATGGTAGTGCAAGATCGACCAACGTCCAGGCCAGCACCAGTCCGCGATAAATGGAGGTCGGGTCCAACGTAGCCTCAAAGGATAGAGGTCGGATCTGAGGCTGACGTAGCCTCGGATGCTAACCTACTAACTCCTAAAACATCATAAGAAATGATGCTTAGGAGTCTTGAGGAGGAGGCATGTTGTTACGCACAAAAAATAATAATAATAATAATAATAATAATAATAATAATAATAATAATAATAATAATAATAAGGTATCCAGAGTCAGTCGGTGGGGTTCTCAGTCGGTTGGTTCTCAATCAGATAAGCAAGTCAGATGGTCCGCGGTCGGGCAAGCAGGTCAGATTATCCGCAGTCGGATAAATGGGTCGGTTGATACAAAGGTTGGCTGCTATGGGGGTCGGTCGAAAAAGGAAGTCGGGCGAAGAAAGGTCTGTTGATAGGTCAGACGATTGAAGAGACCAAATAGTGGTCGTTTGATGGGGCGACCAGTGAGTCTTTTGATCTGGCGACCAATTATGTATCTAGATTGGTCGGTTGGTCGGTCGTTGGGTTATGCGGTTGGCGAGGCGGTTAAAGACATGTGTCAATGAAAGAGGCAGTTCTGAGTTCTGTAACTGGTGGGAACGGTTGGTGAAACAGTGCGACGGTTCTGAACGTTTTCTTCAAAGAATATTTAAGGATTTGGATCATCATTTGGCAAGGCATCTTCAATCAACTTCAACAAAGCAAAGTCAGATTTGGGGATCACCACTTTAAATTTCAGTCTTTTATTTTCCAATTTATTTTCTGTACCATACAGTGTTTAGAGATTCCTAATCTCAGGCACTAAGTTTAAGGATATTTTCTATATCTTTGAATTTTACTTTATTTTTGTTGAAAAATTACATCAACAATAATAATAATAATAATAATAATAATAATAATAGTAGTGTATAATATATATATTTTTAAAATATATATATATATATATATATAAACAATAAAAGTCTTTAAGAAAATCTTTATTATGGTCATCGTTGTTCATGCCCCTCATCCGCTAATTAAAGCTCAAAATTAAACTTTAAAAAATATAAAGTCAACAAAGCAAGCATATGGCCGCCGACGTGACATCGTTATATTTGGATCTATTAATATAATATTCTGCTTTTATTTGATTGTTTAGAATTTATTTTATTTTGATTTTAAATTAAAATTTGTGTTAAATAATACTCTCTTCATCCCAAATATGCAATATTTTTTTTTGTATATCCCAAACACCTGCAATATTTTTAAAATATGAAATAATTCATTATACTTAATCTCTACCCTACACACTTTATCCGCTCACATCATTCAAATAAAAAAAATAAAATATATATTTCTCTCTCCATCACATCACCTAATTTCTAAATTATCCTATTTAATACTACCCACCTAAAAACTAATGCCAAAAGCTGCACCTTGTTTGGAATGGAGGGAGTATTTTATAGAAAAAACAATAATACTACTATGATATTTTTAGTGAAATTGATAATTTAAATTTAAAGTTCAAACAAAATACATCTTTAGTGTTTATAGCTTAGGCTCTATTTGGATTGGCTTTTGACAGCTTCTGCTTCTGATAAACACTTTGTATATGTTTGGATTGACTTCTATCCTGAGGCCGAGGCTGCCATTTTTTAGAAATGTTGCTTTTAAAATAAATAGAAATATTTTTCAATTAAAATTATTATTTTATCCTTAATAATAATAATAATAATAATAATAATAATAATAAA